CCAGCGTAGGGAGCTGTTGATGAATGTCTGTAGTTTGTTGGAAATGCTTTTTGTGACGCGCCAAGTTTCTGAACCATACAGAAATACTGACTTGATATTGATGTTGAAAATCTGGATCTTGTTCACGCTTTGTGCTGAGTGCACACACCTACCTATATTGTTTATTTATGCGCTCTCTTTTTTCTCTTGATCACATTAGTTAAGTAAAACAAAACTTTGACACTGAAACAGTAACCAGGTGTTAAGATAATTTTTTCCTAAGAGTAAATGAGTGAATAAGTGCCTACAATTATGAAGTTTTGAATTACAAGGAAGAAAGTCTACAACTGAGATATTCAGCGTGTTGTATAACAATGGCATATCTGTTATATCCTAAAATATTTCGCCGAGTACCACTCACTCACCCACCCAATAGTCCAAAGATTAGATCACTGATCTAGCTGCCTTGTATGTCTGAGTGATTCCTAACTACTTAAGTTATCTAGTAGTATCTTCTTTAGTTCATGACACTTTTATATTTCCGATAGAAAGCTTGTTGACACCGCAGTTGGGTGACAGTTGAGGACCTACTCGCAGCTGTGAGGAATCTCAACGTGAACCGAGCAATTTATAAATCATTGGCAAGTCGACCATTGTATTTGTCCAAGTACTCCGTTGGCTTACTGCTAAACGAGCGAAACTGCTATATTGTGTTTAGTTCATCAATACTGCTTATCAATTTGAAGAGTCGACAGAAGCTAAATATTACAGCCTACAAGTGATTGGTAATCACTGGTTACGTTCACTTTCAGTAGTTCCAGCTTATATTTAACAGTCTTTGAGGAATCTCATCTTGAAACCAATCGGTCATCAAAAATCATCATTTGAACTACTTACTGTCCAAGATTAATTAGTGACCTGCGTTTTATACGAAGCTGCGACGTGTTGGATCGGTCAATCAAGTAGCAACACAGTCTTATATCACGAGTTGACAAAAGTTGGAAATTCGCAGACGGTTGGAATCAACTTCACTGACTGAACTATAAGGTGTTCATTACAGGAACTCATGATTCTGGGTTCACTGCCTCGTGAGGTCATGAGCACACATGGCTAACGAATCTCATTCTAGGACGCAACAGTTGTACTTACTTATTTGCATACTGAAAGTATTCTTAACCACTTGGGTCAAGAAAATGTATGGAACTGTCATGCATAAGGTAGCCTCGCCCAGTTAACTACTTCACTAGTTACTAGACGGTCCTAAGCACGCATAAACAACGAAGGTTGGGCACACGGCTAGCAACAATACTCCGGAAAACCAATCTAACCACTAAAGAAACTTCTAAGCACAAAGTAACTAAGTATTAAAAATAAAACTAAACTTATTCCTCACTGGAATTGGAGAGACGAAATCACGCCGGTTAGTGAAAGCCTGCCTTCGGGAAGCCAATTGGCCGATGTGTCTTCCCTCTCTCGATGAAAGCAACAGTAAGCATGACAGCATGCAATATCCGAACGATGTTTGAACCTATCAAGGCTGTCCAGATTGCAAAACAGATGAGAAGGTATAGTACTGAAATGCTAATAATCTGCGAGAAATCTGCAGATGGAATGGAAGTGCACTCTCCAAACTGTCAACTACTGAGTCAATAATCTACTCCGATATTGTCACCAGACGACAACCACAAGCACAGTACACTGAGTTCAGTTATGGAGTGGCCATCATGATATCTATCCCCTGCAAGAGCATCGAAGGCTCTCAGTCAGTCGGAACCAATCTCATCCTCCTGCACGATAAGCATCATGACAGCAAGATGGATTCAAATCAAAAGGAAGGGAAGGGAAGGGAAGTCACAATCATTGATTGGCACGCGCCAACAAATAATGTGGATGAAGAGAAGAAGCAACAATCCTACAGACAACTGTAATCAGTACTGGACGAGACACGATTCCAGTTGGCGACATCAAAATGCCTTCTAATCAGTGAGGTGACATGAATGCCAAACTGCGAGTGGAAAACACACGAAGAGAAGAAATCATTGGGTCGAGAAGCACTCGGTGAAATGATGATGAATGAGAATGGATAACTGTTTGCAGATTTCTGTGCATTCAACGATTTGGTGATTGCAGGTGAGGCAGTGTGTACAGTGTACAAACACAAAAAATATTCACAAAGCGAGCGACATGCATGTGATTTCACCAGACACCAGGACACACTACACTCAATATCAGATCGACTTCATCTCAGTGTGAGGGGAGTGGAGAGGCAGTCAGCTTACTGGACACAAGATCAGATGAAGAAGGGGAGTGGATATGTGTAGGTTCACACCACTCAATATCTAGTGGAAGAAACCTACCTCCACAATCAAGTTGAAAGCCTTCAAACAACCTGGTGGTGATAGACCACAGTTGGAGTTGAACACCCAGAACAGAAACTCAACTCAACTCAACTGAACCGAACGACGAAACTACAAAGGATAGATATCCTCACGTCGTCTGTCATGAGGAAGAAATGGGAGACATTGAGCAACATCGCCGAGGACACCTGTGTGGAAGAACACTGGAACTGTTTGACAGAGATGTGGAAATAAACCTGCATAACCATGCATGTTGAGAAGGAGGAATAAGAGGAGGAAAGACAAGGAGTGGATGTCAACGGACACACGGAAGCTGATATAGGAGAGTAGGGTGATGAAGCATAATATGAATCAGTGTGGGTATGAGGAAGGAAAAGGGGAACTGAGTACAATCTATGAAACACTACACTGGAGAAAGAAGTGAGTAAGAGTGGACGGAAAGACGGAAGATATTTCTACGACACCCTTACAAGTGAATCAGAACAGGCTGCTGGTAGGAGAGATAGAGACCTGACAACACTATATCAAATAAGCAGGTTACCATCTGAGAGGAGATCAACACAGCAGGGATGAAACCGATGGGAGATAGTGAAGTAACCTAGTTACCACGGAGGAGGAGGAAGAAAGGAAACGATGGACTGACCACTTCGAAAACTCTTGGATCGACCACCACGTGCGACTCATCCAGAAATGCCACCAGCATTCCAGCCACAAAATTACCGGTGAACACAAGCCCTCCGACAAGTGTCCTGGTCCTGAACACCACGCCACTCAACGATGGCGACACTAGAACGGTTACATGAAAGTTGTAGATGTACCTTGTTGATGAGTGCCGAAATGCACGAAACCCAGGTTGAACGAGGCTTCGTGTTGATTGTCTCTATCCAACTGTTATCCAATAAAATGCCGGAATAATTCATATCTCATTGCTCACCAGTAACCTGTCTTGAGTTCAACTGTCTGAAGTTCGATGTGGGATCAGATAATTTTTGAAATGAGAATACTTTCACCATCAGCGATACAAGCTGTCGATCACATGGTATTTTGACAATTGACGGAAGGAGGAATCTCTTGTTTCACCGGTTTTTACTAGTTTTCCGAATAATGTGAATTCTTTATGGAAGCTACCTAGAAAAACCCGAATTTCATAGCATATTAACATCTACCATTATATATATTATAAGTCTCCTTCCTCAGTTGCTTCATCCATTACGAGTTGCATCCAAAAGATGTGGCTGTCATGCATCAGTGGCAGCCATGTGGATAACTCTTTGGTGTTCGAAGCAATGGGTACCGAGTTTGAGTTTCAATGAGAACAACATCTAGTTAACAGGATGTGTCCCATATAAGACGAAATGTATATCTCAAATTCTACTGCTACCCACCAAGAAGAATACAAGCTGTATCCATATTTTCTGGCGGCTGATCACGGATCATTGTGACCGAAACTACTAATTAGCATAAGTGAGTAGTATGTATAACGCCAATATGAGTTAAACATCCCACTGTATGCATGACTGCTATGATAATCATTTTCGACTGACTGAAGTGTCAATTTGCTCCACCAATAAATTAAATAACCAATCACTCTTCTCTGTTCTTGTGAAAAGCAACCTCACCGGCTGAATCGAATATGTCTGACTGGCTATCCCACCAGTTGTTGAGGTGGCTTTCAAATTCATTCCCTTTCAGTAAATCACGTGACTTTTTTTCACTTTTGATTGGCGTTGATTCTGCGGCGACTTTAAACGCCATTCCAGCAGTGGTAGAAATAACCAATTAGGTTTCTTCATTTCGGCTGGAAAGTCAAATTTTCATAAAATCGAAAAGCGAAGTAACCATACTTCACTAGTGATTAAGATGACCCTCCCAGTCACTCCTGTAAGGTAACTCCACTCAGGTAATCAATAAGCAATTGACCCTGACGAATTTGAAATATCCAGTCAGTTCTCTCTATTTTTGTTGGAAAGGTAGATTCTCATGAACTGACTCTAAAGGCCATCATAACAACTAGCGAAGTGATCAGTTGTAATTATGCATCACCAGTCGGAATAGAGAAACGTGATTGGTTAGTTCACTTGTTAGCTAATACCAACAATCATGAAGACTAACAGAAGCATGGCCTCCTACTGGTTGCCTTCAACTGACTCACAGCTGGATATCCTAAAACAGGATGATCAATTCGCAGATGGTTTACGGTTGACATTCTCTCAGTTGAGTAGTTTCTCAACTGACCAACTGTCCTGTCAGTGGTATCTGTCTGCACTACAGACTGAAGAGAATCTCAAGGCAAAATGGAAAAGTTTATTTGTCACTTCATAGTTTTCTTCATTTCCCCAAATAACATCAGTTTATGGTGGAAACTTAATATAAATTTATTTTCTGTGATTTACAGTTAATCACACACTAATAAATGAAGAGGAAATGGATTTTTATAGATATTATAATAGACAACGATAACTTGTAATTGTCTGATTCACATGATTCTGCACGATCCATCCTGAACGCTGACCTTGAACGTGATTGGTCTACAATCGTGTATGCTAAATCCATCCAACCACACGATGAATTACATGATTCGGAGGTCTCAACCAACCGCTTACAACAGAACGCAAATTCTGTCGATTTGATTCATCTGTAAATACGTACGACTAAACTACCTGACCACAACGCACCATAATTTCTAAAAATGAAACAGCCAATTAAATTTATGGACAAAAAATGAGATAATATATAATATCATACTCAAATTATTTCCGAACCATAAGTCGTATATAAATGAATGAGATGTCGATCGAAAACTGTTAAACCAAGCTATACAGTAATGTTAATTCATAAATGCACTCCCGTGACCAACCAATACATGTAAGCCAGTCCTACAGGAGGTCAACTGCGGCCCGAATAGCTCAGTAGAAAAGTCGCTGACTACAACACTGGATTACACGAGTTCTGGTCTCAGGCAGGACATCAGTTCCTTCGAGGTTGCAGATACACCTTGCTGACGAGTGTCAAAAAGCACAAAACCTAGGTCCAGGGCCTCCTGCCAAATGCCTTCCAACGAACTAACATAAGTGAAATGACTTTTAAAACACTTATGTGAGATTCCCATTTATCAACTTTTCAGCTGATATGACAAAGTGAAGATACGAGTTTATCAACGAGACTGGATGGTATTCTTGCTATAAGTTTGATTGATGGAAGGCACAAAAACTGTAGACCATCTTAGATGAGCATCAATGACAAAGGAATCATCCAGCTCTCTATAGTCACCATCAGCTCACTAGCTAACATCACCTGATGACGAGAGCGACTGACAAGTGTTGATTGTTATACAGCGGTAACATTTCAAGTCAATTTTATTTCCTTTCTTGTTAGAATTTCTCTCAGCCTAATTATCATCACACTGAAGAAATTGCTAACCTAATTGTAAACAAAACTGGTAGATATTATATAAGCATAGTCAGATCATGTGAATAAATTAATCGCACACCCTACAGTACAGACATAAACAAGCACAGATGCAAAAAATGTTGGATGACAACAAAATATTCAACATTTCTTATTTTAGTTTGAAAATAAATAAACAAATCAAAATGACAATCATCGAATAACTAAAATAATCAAGGATTGATTTATATTTTAAAGGTTGAGAAATTTCATACCGTGGCCGCATATTTATAGTGGTAACGCAATTGCTCAATGATCGGTGTACCATACCCATCATGAAAGGGAAGACTTAGACCTCATAAAGAAGAACAGTAACCCTCTAGACGTTGCTTTTTATTGTACAAAGTTAGTTGGCGGGATGTTATGTGACTTCATCATGTGGTTGGATTTCGCATACAAGACTAATGGACTTCGCCTAGCAGCTCAATGACGTGTTGCTCACCTCGAAACCTAAAGCCGGTGAGTTCGATCTTTGACTCAATCACGGTTGCACGTCATTGAGGAGTCTGAATCTAGGATGAAGTAACTTTCTAGTGCTTCCAGGTTTTCATTGGTTATTCAACTGATGTTATTCCGTGATAAATACCGACCTAGAAGATACAACAGTTGAAAGTTATCGAAGCACAACTTTATTTCAAATGTGATACTTATCGATAGAGCTCATCTACAATTCCCCAAGGGATCTGCTTATCGTTATACGAGATGACACCGATGAGGAATGAAGAAGTGGTTTATTACAAACGTACACTAAATATTCGTGAAATGGTGAAGATTCTAGAATAAATACATTTCATACTAACAGTCTCTGTATTCTGTATTAGAAGTGGATAGATCTTCAGTTTCTGCTGTTTCATTCTTCACCTTCGAAATTTACTTAGGGTTTTCGCTTTCTCCTCCAGAATGTTTATTGACTGAATAATAACTCTACTTATTTCTCACATGGACTTCATGCCAAATACTACTTACATGTGTTCATGTTAGTAGTACAAGCCACACATGAAGATAATATCCGTTTTTTATGAGGAAACATTACGTTACCGTTTCACTGTCTCACAAAATGAGCTTATCGCCTATGAGTCACTGAGTCCCTTCACTTTAAACCGACATGCAGTCTTCCACTTTAGTGAACTCCTAGAAGTTTCTCAAACCAGAGAATCCTCTGAATACGAAGAACTGAATTGCAATGTAATGGTCATTCACTCTTCACACATTGACTGAACAGTTCCACTTCTGCTTCAATAATCTAGTCAAATGACATCATCTTTAACAATGGTAACCAGTGAGAAGGATTCAAGGTTTCTGAGGTAGAATTTGTTATATCTTCGTACGCCAACGGTTATATATATTTCGAATAAATAGAATACGCACGCATTGCTGACAGCCAACTTAGTAAGCAAGAGCCACTGACTGCAACCTCGGGGCAAATAGAGAGGGGCCGAAGCTGGCAGATGGGAGAGTTTATTACTCCGAGAGTATAATAATCAATCAATCCAAAACACGTGAATATGTATACACATAAAATATAACCTTGTCCGCAATTGAGAAATTCGCATAGGAAGAAATTAACCAAGCATTACAATGGGGCAGAAATTAAACTACTAGTCATACTGTAAAATGGTGTGAGAATGTTAAGTTAAAAATGTCCAGATCAATAACAATGTTTTATACAAACGTGATGCCCTACAACAGAATTCCGGAAAAAGTGTCACTTTCATATGGAATATTACGGCATTAGATGATTTATGAATATGAGATGAGCAAATTGTCCTTGAGATTTATTATTCCACTAAGCATCGATATGGAGATCTTACGGTCTCTTGTTCTATGCTTTCTGTCATATTTTCAACCGTCAACAATAGTTCTACCTGGCTTGTTTATCCCAGTCACCCTACCAGCCAACCGACTAACGGCTTATGTTCCCTAAAATTCATATGCTTCTGATGTAGCACGGGTGAAGAGTCACAAAAAAAACGTATCGAAACGATCCCAGTGGTTTGGTTCAACGAACCACAATCGGCTTTCAGTAGCATTGTATTTTTATTAGTCACTGGTAGGAGATGACAAACATCATGTTTTCTAGTCCCAAATGCGACGCAAAGGGACTGATGTTCCGCATGATACTGAAGGCTGTCTCTCACCGCTGCAGTCGGAAATGGTTACTACTGAGCTATATAAGCCGTGATTGTTTTTCTATAGGTCTAGACAATATGAAATGGGTTACCTTCCAGTGACTAATCAACGTACCTAATCCAGTCTTACACAAAGTGAAATTGTCTAGTTGTAACACTCAGCTTCGTGAATTTGAATTACACTTCCTGTACGAAGATCTTAGTAGCCCCCTTACAGTAGGTATATCTTATCGCCTTCTGCGTGAAGGTGCACGTCGTTGCTGAATCGCAGGTGACTTCTACATTAAGAAAGTTTTGGCCAGTAGTGGAATAGAGAACACACATTTCGCCCTACTTTTAGATGACTTGTCAGCTCATTGAGACTGGAAACTAGCATCAATTAAAGTGAAATTATAACTGTTGCACAACATGTAACTATCGCCCAGATGCTAACACGTTTGAAACGATGGCTGCTGACTTTGAGTTCCAATACGACTACAATCACTTACTGGGATGCAGCCAGCTGTATGCAGCTGGCGAGCCCTATGTCGGACAAAATACACATCGTCGACTCCGTGGCTAACCATTATCAAACTGATAACATCGAAATGAAAGTTGAGTCAATATTGAGGTGTGCGTTCAGGGAGCCTTATGCGAGAAGTGACCGACAGTTCCGTTGGGTAATGGTAATCAGAGGTGAACTGGAAGAAAGAATAAGTAAGTTTGAATAGGTATCCAGCAGAACACTGAACACATACACTGTAACATTTGTAGAAACAGTCGGAGAGACTCAGTGTTTGACGTTGTTTTACTGTTGGCAAATTACCCCGTTGTCACTAATAACTGTTGTCTGCCTGTTCATTCGTTCAAAGCGTAGAACTGTATCTGAAAAGGTTGATAGCGTATTCCACGTTCACAAATCGAAAGATGTCAATATAAACATCACTTTCAATGAAGTGGCTGTACGGTAGAACACCTTGCCTCTTCTTCTATACACCTAATAAATATGCATACACGTGTATACTGAATACAATGAAGTGTGAAGGATCAATTCAAGTTGATAATTCGTAGACTGTAAGCTCCACTCCGGCCCTCATCCCAAGTTTTTTTCAACGCAAGTCACTAGTCAAAGTGTTAATGACAAAACGACAATTTTTCTGAAACAAACTGATACAAAAGAACTACTTCAGGTGAAATACTTTATTTCACCAGTTGGAGAACCGTTGAAAACCTGAGAGCACTAGACATTTGTTTCATCCCAATACGAGACTACTCAACTGTACGCGCTAACAACCCTGCCTCTCCAGGGACCGGATTCAAGTCTCTTGGTTAGTGCATTAACCGTTCAGACACCGGATAGGCACCCAGTGTCCTACAGTTTTCAACTTTTTTCAAACTGCAATATAGCTCGACTATCCACTAAGATCTTCCTTTGACATCCGCTTCGCTTCTCACTGGTTTACACCACAGGTCACAGCTTCTTCTTGTTAACTTCAGAATATCAATCTCCAGCACCATGCAGCAAAGTATTTTTGAGGTTTCAGGTGATTTTATTTTTCAGTTAGTATCCATCATGGACTGATCTCAGGGTGAATATGAATACCAGAATGAAACAACCACTACCCAGTACTCCTAGATTTACCAATGTCACCTGGTGATGTATACTATCCTGAAAATAAAACCCCCATTAACCTCAGAATATTTTATTGAAAGGAAAAATTCCTCTCAAGAAAAAAGAAGAGAACAGCGCAAATTGACAAGCTGTACTTTAAGAGTACAAAAAAGAAGCGAAGAAAGTTGATTGAGAGGAAAACAGGTAAAGAGAACACCATACCATAGCAACCAGTAGGTAGTGCTAATAGCGCTCATACTACTACTACTACTACTACTACTACTACTACTACAAACTGTAATATTAGAAGTAGCTTCGTAAATCTTACATTATTCTCATAATACTTTCTCTCTGTACCTTGTTTTATTGTTGTCAATATTCAATGTGAACTCTGGTGTATCCTATTCTGGGGGGTACACAGTACCCGTAAATGAACACACATTATATTTTCAATGTTACATACACACATGCAAACGAACAAAGGAATAAACCAATATTTGGACACACACATAGCCATTCTCTTCAAATGAATAGTGTTTGCGTATTGAAAAACATGACCTTAGTTATGTATACCACTTTTATAAATAATTGGTATGCAAAAGTTTCTGTTGCTAAGGTGACTTTTTAAAACAAAACAAAAGTTTATGTTTATCCATTAGTTTATTTCTCTATTCATTTCAATTTAAGTTAAAGTGAACATGAACGGAGACACATACATCCATATATATGACAAGCAATGCGAAAAGTAAAGAAGGGGTATACAAAGAATATGATTGCTACACCTTGTTTATTTTGATTATTATATATATGTGAGCATGGTGAACCTTAGAGCACAGTACAGTTGCGTAAAACTTTCAGTCACCGAATCAGGAGGCACTGGTCCATATTTCCTACTAAATCACTCCAATCGTCTTGTTGAGAAAGTATTCCCAAGTCAGTCGGGGTGGACGCCACCGGTGGTAACAGCATCTCATTAGAACTTTGAGGATATCATCTCAAAGCAAGTAATTAAGAACCAGTTGACAGTAATTAACCAACTGCTACAGCACAGCAGTTTCAGTGATATAAACTTGTATCAACCTCATACAACAGCAGTTATATCCATTATGATGCTACATGCCAAGCGATTCACAATGCAATGCTCAGTGATGCCTTTGAAGTGAAGACAGGAGTAAGAAACGGCTGCGTACTATCACCCATCATCTTCTTGATTGTGGTCGACTCGACTCGACTCGACCTGACTTGACTTGGCTGGAACACACAAAAACTGTGAGAAGCGAGAAGATGGGCATACGCTGGCTGGACAGATGAAAACACCCTAGGAGATTTGGGTTTCGTCGATGATGATTTATGTCGAATGTCTTATATTGCACAAACTCGAAAATCTACAGGCGAAAAACAACGAATTGGCAGAAGAGACAGGGTAGCGAATACGCAACTCCAGGTGAACGTAGAGAAGACAGAGGTGATGAAGATACCCAGTCAACAGCAGCAGCAGCAGCAGCAGCAACAACAACAACAACAAGAAGAAACACCAATCACCATGAACAGGAGAAATCTAAACAAAGTTGTCTCTTTCACCTACCTACCCACCTACCTACCTAGGCAGCATCGCTTCAACTATAGGTCGCAGCAGAACAGATGAAGACGTCAAAGCCAACCAAGATCGACAAGACAGCAAAACAGATCTTTGTTAACCTGAAATCAGTGTAGAGATCTACTGCACTGCACTGCACTGCACTGCACTCAGCATGTCGATCGAGATCCGGATTTTCACCACTAAGTCGGTCAGGTGAATCAGTGCTCGTATGTGATGGTTGGGAGACTTGGCGCGTTACGAAAAGCATTTCCAAGAAACTGCAGATATTCATCATCAACAGCCGCCACCTATGCTCACTCGATAGTGGAGATCAGATGAGAAGGATCAGAAGGAATAAGCAAGGAGAAACTCTGACCTGTCGACGAACCAACCAACGAAGCAAGAACCTATCGCCCAACAAATATGCAGAAGAAGGATGTGGAAATGGATTGGATTGGACATACACTGAGAAGACGATTTGAGGACATCACGTGCCAGGCCAGGTCAGGCCAGACCGTCGAGTGGAATCCGAAAGGGGAAACGATGAGTTGGATGTCTGAGGGTGATATGGAGGAGATGGTGTGAGGAGGAAATGAAAGGTTATAGGTAGTTGTGGAGGGCGGTTGAGCAGACTGGAGAGGAGAGAGTGAGATGTTGAGGTGCTACTGAAGCCCTATGTTCCACTTGGAACCCAACGGACAAATAATAATAAAATAAACAGTTATTTTATTTTGGAGATTTCTGAAGATTTACTGATTGGTTCCAGGTTGGTATTCATTATGGACTGATATCGTGAGGTCATAGGGTCATGATATAACGCTACTGTTATGCAATATGACCGATGAGCACTTGGCCCACCCACTAGGACTTCGAGAATCGCACTTAGAAACACGGCATAAATAAGGACTAGACAGTATTTTAACTAAAAGATTTTTAGGAATGGAATTGTTGATTGATTTCAAAGTGGCCCGATTTGCGAACCGACTGAACAACTGTTTCGTCCTAATTCAGGAGTCTTCAGCAGTAATAAATACAACCTTCGAAATTAAACCTGCTAGTTAAATAACTGAATTTCAAGGGAGGCGAAATCAATTTTGTCAAGAAAGAAATGTAGACCGTATTTTAAGGGTTGAATGAAGTTCTTCGATCTATGCCATGCTGTAAATAATTGTATCTGCCTCCTTTTGGCAAAAAAAGTTTCTCTAAATGCTTCCTGTTGTTTTAAAGAAGTGGAAAATTTCTTGAGTTACTTGAAATTAGGGACAATTGCGCAGTTGTCAGTTTGGTTGGTTGTAGCTAGCAGAGGATTCCACTATGTGCTTTTAGTCCCACTTTGGAATCGCCAGCTGGATGTGCCTGAACTTCAGTGAGTGTTTTTCCTACTGAGACTAGAACCCCCTTGCCCACCGCTCCAAACGCCGAGACGTTATCCACTATGCCACGGAGGCACAATAGCTACTTTTTTTCAACGGGCAGTAGCTATAACTATTTATTGATATACTTGTAATTCTCCGCTGTTTTATTAGATCGAATTGTTCCACCTGCAATAAAACAATGGAGAATTACAGGTTTGCCATTGAATAGTAATAGCTACTACCCGTTGTACAAGAAGTGACTATGGTACCTTCGTGGCATAGTGGATAACACCTTGGCGTCTGAAGCGATGGATACGAGGTTCGAGTCTCAGCGGGGGGACATCATTCACTGGGATGCATGTACATCCATCTGACGAGTTCCAAGTAGGACGAAGTGCGCATCCTACATTCTTTTTCTAGCCACAACCAGCCAAATTACTCTAACTAACATGCAGACAATATCAAGGCATCTGTATAGGAGCTCATATGCCAATAGAGGTCGAATAATTTGATCCAATGAAACAACGGAGAATTATAAGTATATTAGTGAACAGTGAGTGGTTGTTGTTTGCTAGTCAGCTAGCGGTTCTTCACCCGCCTACATCCTCAACAGCATACATACTCAAACCTGTAGCCATCAGAAGAAGAGGAAGAAAGAATTTTAGATCCTTGTTGACAGGTTATTTCAATAATAACAACACCAACAGCATAGGGTTTTCGTATCTGTCAGACGCACGTTACGTCTAGTAGTGCCATTGGGATAGGTTACGACATACCACAAGTTAGCCGTCAACACTCAACTTACCGGTAATTAGCATCTGGCTGTTAACTTCGGACAGAACTATCCTCTGTGTGTTGTATGTTGTAACACTAAGGTTTCAATCTTATGAAGGATGATCACTGCCTAATGTTGACGACCCAGAAGATGGGAGTGGGTGAGTGTAGAGTACTAGAAATACCAGGAGTAAGCGAAGCAAGAGAATTATATCGATATACCATAATGTCCATTTGCTTTGTTTTTCGCTTTTGTTGTTCTTTTAGATAACTAATTCACAGACAGTAAGAGAAACAATGTTGTGCAATCTACCATGTCGTATTGTGCTCATAGCGATGAACACCGTCAGTATGGTAAGTAGTTGTATTTCATTGCATCCTAGTCTATTCTATTCAATTCATATTCATCATTCTGGGAACACCATCAGTATATATTTACTTTTGGCTGGCTTTTAATCTGCCCCCCATTTAATCACCTCGATCAATATTATTGAGAACTGGAATCACTCAACTGGAGAACCATTGAAAATCTGAGGGTATAGGATAACAGAGGTTTCCTCCCAGTACCAGACTTTTTAGTAGTAGGCATCTACGATCCTGTCACCCTCCAGGGACCCCACTCAGAACCTTCAGGTTTCACGACAAGTGAGTTAATCATACAGCTCAATTATTCATCAACGTCTTCAGCTGGCTTCTGTTTCAATACCGACTGGTTAGCCAACGCCCCCCCCCCCTCAAACCTACAGATTATCATTAGAACTTCACGATATCCATCTCGAAACACCATTAACCTCAAAATACATTACTATATTGGTTGGGTAGTCATGGTGTACCGCAAAGTGACAGAATTAAGAAACTGTGAACCATGAGATTGGTATTCAGTGACTGAAAGGTTTGCAACTTCATGGTGAAACTCAAGCGCCATTAGTTCCGTGCCTGACAGGGCTCGGTCGTGGGTGCACACTGCTGGAGAGTCTCGCGCTAGGACGAAACACCTGTCCATTCCCCACAGGTTTCCAATGGTTCCCAGGCTGATGTCAGTTTATGATATAGATTACCCTGAAAAAACTAAATAGAATCCACACTCACCTCAAAATACGATATTACTGAATCAAATCAAATTTAATTTTGTAAGTAAGCGAAAGCCACTGCATGTATTACCTATCGACCTGCTACCAACACCTTAAACTAGTGATAATTGGTGTTTCAGAGACTAAACGGGTAATTCTTAAGCAGTCAGAAATTTGATGACAGATATTGTATTCTCAAACATACTACTACTGAAAAACCTATGGCAGTAGTAGTACTAGTAGTACTTATGGAGCGAATAGTATCAAAACAGAAAGATGACAATGAAATATATTTTGTAAAATCCCAGTGAAGTGGAAAACTGAATTTCTGACGTTTTGCAACTACGTGGAGATCGTTTCTTCAGAGAATACAACCTGTACAAGTTATCGATAGTTTAAATAGTAAAACATCATAAATTTATTTTTTCGGTTCATTGGGATCTTACAAAATATATTTCATTTATGATCTAATTACCCAATGCTCAACTTATTCAACTGTAGCAGGTCAAATTTCGATCCTGAAGCTTACAGAAAAATGAAAAGGAAAAAAAGGGTGGGAGGGGGGAAAGGAAAAGACTGAAAATTAAGACCATGAAAGAAGAATGGGTTGAACAATCTTTTTTTGTGTACATAATTCAGGTTTCTCCATATGCATGACAAGAGCTTCGTTGATGCAGAGAATACGAAGATATACAGCCTTTCGAAAGTTTGTTTTCACCTTACAGATGACTTTGAACGAGCACGTTCTTGAGATAGCGTGGTTCATGTTGGCGAAATGTTCAATTATAGCATTCTTTATCGCTTCATTGTTACCTCTCTGTAACTACACAGGATAGTATTCTCGAACCCTTCTGAGAAACAGTCGCATACAACGACCTACATACCTGACTCCACAAAGGCAGGTGAATTGATATATGCACATATAAGTGGTCAGATGTGAAAGTTTCTCCTTTGAGTCGTTAGAAATCATTGAGCGACAAGAGAATACTAGTCTTAGAGTTGATGAAAAGAAAGTTCTCGTTAGAGTATTTGATATTCTCCTGTTAAGTGTTGGTGGCAGAATCACGTTTAAAGTTTAGATTCATACAGAGTGTCTGCTTTGACACGGTGATAAGGTTCTCTTTGAGAGGTTTAGGTTTGATGTGTTTGTTTATGAAGCATGATGGGAATCTGTTTTCAGTTAGGATGTTCTTGAGAACAGAAACATACTCTCCTAACACACCGGGATTGCAGATTCGTCTAATGCGAGTGGCAAGAAATACGTTCAGATTTCTCTTACAACTCACAGAGACCGAGCTATCAGAGTTCGTCAGTTGACCATTCCATATTAGTATTGTGTGAATTGACTTACTTAACGTTCCATCAGCTATTCCTGTCAGGTCTACACCAAGAAAGTGAATTTTCGATTTTCGACTCAAGGGTGAATCTAATTGCTGAATGGCAGTTACTGAAGATTTGTAGAACATGGTTCAAATCATATTGATGATCACAGAATTTTTATTGGTAAAACAACTGCTTAGACGCTTTTAAATGTTGTCTGCTTGATAATGGAATCTAAGACACGCATTTAATCTTATTTGGGACTGTTTGGTTAGTTGCATCTACCAGCATCCTAGTGACGAGTGGTGTTACCACTGTGAGTTGAGTCCGGCTGCACAACAAGTGACAGTTGCATAGGTGCTAACACTGTGGCTTCTGAGACGATGTCTACTGGCTTTGTCTCAATAAGATTACTATCACTCATCAGGATGCAGGCAGGTGTATGCAGCTAATGAGTTACAGGTAGGACAAAATATACGTCATGGATGTTATGGTTGGCCGTCATCATCATCGAAACGAAACTTGAGTCAATATTGAGGTATACGTTCAAGAAACCCTATGCCAAACGTGCCTGATCAATTCCGTCCGCCATGATGGTCAGCGATGAATTATAACAATCAACGAACACTAGACGTATTCTACTATCGATGACTTTTTAGGTGATTTCATTTACGGAATAAAAGATAACTCATACCCTTCAGTGCTTGAAGTATAATGAGTAGATGCCATTGTTTGAAATCTCTGAACATTTCGTCGAGTGTATTTATTGTGACATTCTCAACGGTACGTCTATATGATACGTCCGCGAGTTAAAATATCCATTTCAATGTTGAGTAAAAACTATTATTTAATTCCAAGATAAAACTATCTACTTTAGAGGATCCTAGGAATTGATTGGTTCATTTCTAAGTAAGTATTCATCATGGAACGACATCAATCCGTTGAAAAACACTGGAAAACTGAAAGCCTTGAAGACCTGCTTCGTCCTAGAATGGAACTTCTTAGCGAAGATCATCCATAATCACGCCAGAAATGATATCCTCTGCTTAGTATGAACACTTTTACAATCCTTTTGGCGACCTAAAACATATAAAGTTAACTCGCTCCCCTCCAAAACTTTGGTCAACATAAATCTAATGATTTTCTTAGTAAATCATTCCCTATACTGGGAATAAAATGTACTGAAATTCCATAGTGTAAAAAACATTTTATTTTATTATTATTGCTATTATTTGTCCGTTGGGTTCCAAGTGGAACATAGGGCTTCAGTAGCACCTCAACATCTCACTCTCTCCTCTCCAGTCTGCTCAACCGCCCTCCACAACTACCTATAACCTTTCATTTCCTCCTCACACCATCTCCTCCATATCACCCTCAGACATCCAACTCATCGTTTCCCCTTTCGGATTCCACTCGACGGTCTGGCCTGACCTGGCCTGGCACGTGATGTCCTCAAATCGTCTTCTCAGTGTATGTCCAATCCAATCCATTTCCACATCCTTCTTCTGCATATTTGTTGGGCGATAGGTTCTTGCTTCGTTGGTTGGTTCGTCGACAGGTCAGAGTTTCTCCTTGCTTATTCCTTCTGATCCTTCTCATCTGATCTCCACTATCGAGTGAGCATAGGTGGCGGCTGTTGATGATGAATATCTGCAGTTTCTTGGAAATGCTTTTCGTAACGCGCCAAGTCTCCCAACCATCACATACGAGCACTGATTCACCTGACCGACTTAGTGGTGAAAATCCGGATCTCGATCGACATGCTGAGTGCAGTGCAGTGCAGTGCAGTGCAGTAGATCTCTACACTGATTTCAGGTTAACAAAGATCTGTTTTGCTGTCTTGTCGATCTTGGTTGGCTTTGACGTCTTCATCTGTTCTGCTGCGACCTATAGTTGAAGCGATGCTGCCTAGGTAGGTAGGTGGGTAGGTAGGTGAAAGAGACAACTTTGTTTAGATTTCTCCTGTTCATGGTGATTGGTGTTTCTTCTTGTTGTTGTTGTTGTTGCTGCTGCTGCTGCTGCTGCTGTTGACTGGGTATCTTCATCACCTCTGTCTTCTCTACGTTCACCTGGAGTTGCGTATTCGCTACCCTGTCTCTTCTGCCAATTCGTTGTTTTTCGCCTGTAGATTTTCGAGTTTGTGCAATATAAGACATTCGACATAAATCATCATCGACGAAACCCAAATCTCCTAGGGTGTTTTCATCTGTCCAGCCAGCGTATGCCCATCTTCTCGCTTCTCACAGTTTTTGTGTGTTCCAGCCAAGTCAAGTCAGGTCGAGTCGAGTCGAGTCGAGTCGACCACAATCAAGAAGATGATGGGTGATAGTACGCAGCCGTTTCTTACTCCTGTCTTCACTTCAAAGGCATCACTGAGCATTGCATTGTGAATCGCTTGGCATGTAGCATCATAATGGATATAACTGCTGTTGAATGAGGTTGATACAAGTTTATATCACTGAAACTGTAGTGCTGAAGCTGCTGGCAGTTTACTTCTCTGTTGATGTTTCGATCGAAGACCTTTTCAAATTCGATGAACCTGAGGTAAGGAGTTGTGCTTAGTACTGAAGAGAGTTAGTCGACAGGAATTGCAAGCTAGGCAATGCAACACTGAGGCGTTAGAAGTCTGAAGTTAATCAGCAAACATCTGTAACTGGCCTAGGCTTCGCACTTGCCGGTCTTCATCAGGAAAGCACATTTGCTAACTAAAGTAGTTTTGAAATCGTGTCACTACCTGCTGTCGTCAGATTCTTTGTCAGCAAATTATAAAGACGAATAGAACCTACTCCGTGTTAGCCCGAAGCTTGCATCTGTGTTTTGAATCTCCTAACTAACACAGAACATCCCTCAGGATTCCTTATATGACCTGCTGAAGAGTACCGGCAGGTAAGAAACCGAGGCGACATAATGCAGTGAAACTATTGACTAACTAACACCTAAACCATCTTCAAAAGCATCAATGAACTTCATGCATATCTCATTTTTGCGTTTGGCAGACTGTCTAGACGTTAGAAATTCATCTCATTTGAACTAATTTTCATTGTAACCAGATACTTTCTTCAAATCCAGTTGTCAGATGTTGAATGACCTTGAAAATGTGGATTTGCTTAGTATTGTTCAAGGTCACTACACCGGCTTTTTTCAATGCGTTCATATTAGCATAATATCTTATTTCTATGTTTTCACTTCACGTTGTCTTTTCTACACATACACAAAGAAAGAAATGAATATTTTAACTTTTCTTAATGCATACTGATAGTTGATGCAAGAGACTTGCATAAATTATTCCTAATTTTAACGTATTCACGTGATTTTTTTTTTTCTGATTTCGTTTTCTAATCTCCGCTGATTTTTTTCTCATTTTCTTTGAAGTTGGTGGGATTAGTACTCCTTACAGTTGGAGCATTAATGGTTTGGGGTCAGAGCGTGATCCAATCTATGCTGAATAACTTTTTAACTGCACTGATCAATCAATATCTTAAAGGGACTGATGCTTCTCAAATCACTGAGTTAGTTACACGAATACTAACATCAACTTGTAAGTAGTATATTGTCATTGATTTACCGTTAATTCTAAGGTTTGGTTTCGAAGTAATATTTATGTGGTATATTATTATTATTTATCCCTTGGGTTCCAAGTGGAACATAGGGCTTCAGTAGCACCTCAACATCTCACTCTCTCCTCTCCAGTCTTCTCAACTTCGCTCCACCACTACCTATAACCTTTCATTTCTTCTTCACACCATCTCCTTCATATCACCTTCAGACATCCAACTCGTCGTTCCCCCTTTGGATCCCAATCAACGGCCTGGACTGGAGCGTGATGTCTACGAATGGTTTTCTCAGTGTATGTTCAAATATGCAAGTAGTATTCATCAGGGTGAAATCAAAGAGGAAAGCAGGTACAGTTAACATTCAATCATGAGGGGTTTTGAAGACAGAAATGAGTAAATAAATAAGACGATTCGAAAAAGAAAAGGTGAAGAAACAGAAAGTGAAAACTGATTCAACCAACATCTTAAATGCAAACATTATTTCCATAAAAATCGTTTAATAACATTAGGTTTCGATATTTCACTTATGTATGGTGTTGAGGTTGAAGATACGCCAAAGATCCCTAAACTTAGGTGATGCGCAGAACTTCCTGCTGATTGCTTCCATCCAACTAATATCTGCTCAAGTGCATCACGATGCTCTAAGCCTCATAGTCTAGGGACTACATTTCACATTGATTGGTAGAATTCAATTAGCACTCGGGAATAGACAACACTAAGCTGGTCATCCCCTTCCGGTGACCAATCAAAGTACAACGCCATTGAAAGCCGAATGTAATTCTTTGAAAAAAGCCACTAGGATCCCTTTAATACGTTTCATTTTCTCAAGAAGAGAAGAATGGTTATGACTTATCACTTATGCTACATCAGACATATGGTTTTTGGCGAACATACATCATTAGCCGGTTGGTCAGTTGGTAGGCTGATAGTAATGAAAAAGTGAATAGAAATTTGGCCAAAAAACAAGCGACTGTGAGACGTCCACATCGATGCTTAGTGGGATAGTGTGCCTCAAAGAGAATTCGCTCTTCCCATATTCATAAACCACCTACCCTAGAAACCTTAAATCCCATTCATTCATCATCATTGTTGAAGACGCTGTCATTTCACTAGATTATTGAAGCAGAAGTGGAACTGTTCAGTCAATGTGTGAAGAGTGAATGACCATTACATTGCAATTCAGTTCTTCGTATTCAGAGGATTCTCTAGTTTGAGAAACTTCTAGGAGTTCACTAAAGTGGAAGACTGCATGTCGGTTTAAAGTGAAGGGACTCAGTGACTCATCGACGATAAGCTCATTTTGTGAGACAGTGAAACGGTAACGTAATGTTTCCTCATAAGTACTTCATGTCATGTGGCAGTATGATCTGTACTAATAATATGAAAGTATTTCAGCAGTATACACAGTGAAGTTCATCAGCGAAATAAACAAATTATCAGCCAGTGACAAATCAAAGCCATTAGGCTAGGCAGCCTTGTGTTCGCAGAACTCGTGAACAGAATACTCATAGAAAGGTAAATCAGACCAACAAACAACCTGGGATTATAGCGTAGCGTTACAAGTTAAGCCACCTCATCATTTATCCACAACACATGAAAATGCAAAAATTTCAAGCTGAAATAGAATTCCAATAAAACTAAAACAAGGCCAAGAAAACGAAACCAGCGGGAAATAATTCAGAAGGCCGACTAAGATAAGGATAATGCGAGTAGAAACGAAGATTCCCAGTCATTATGAGAAATAGGGACACAAACCACTTCCTTTAGAAGCCACATGGAAACAAAATAGCAAACGGTAAGTCAACCAATCATAACATAAATCGAAAATCAAGCACATTCCCAGACAACAAACCCTAAAAAGGTGACCAATATAACAACAGAAACTCAACCGTTACCATGCAACCACATATACATAAACACATGATATCAAATGAGTTTACACTAACTCATACACATGCAGATGACCAAACCGATATTCAACACATGTAACACAAAAACAGTGTTACACCCATTCCGGATATGTAGACGAAATTCTAACACAATCAACCTGTGCAAAATATCAAAAATATGCTTCACTACAGGAAGACAACAAGTGTACAGAACACATTTCCCGGATAATAAACCCATATGACGAGCAGACGGATCCATCAGGTGTGTCTCATCTCATTCAAGGCTCATCACCAGTGCGTTGCTCTCAGTGATTTGGTTCCCACGAAGATTCAAACCCAAGACTAGGCTAAGATGATATTCTTGATAATATGTATATCAATTGATGGTGTGACACATAATGAGTTCATATGGTTACCCGAATTTTGGGAGTTGGAGTTGATGTGAAACAGATGATCCACTACATGGAAGCTGCCCCACATCAACTACATCCATACATCAATTCGTAAGACGATGACAGAGTAGGAAGAGCGATTTCGATGAAGATGGTTGTCAATATGCCACTACAAAACATTTACTAAAATCAAACAACCATTCACACGTTGAAGACTATCCCATTTACAAATCAAATCGTAACGACATCTACACACTCATACTACTTTAATCACCGTCAGTAGTAGTAGTAGTAGTAGCAGAGGAAGTAGTGATAGCAGTCTTATCGTCACATTCTACACAAAGTATTCCGTTCAGCGGGACAGTGAATACACTTTCTACACTGTTCAGTTAAATCGTTAGATGAATATCCACAGTTTACGGATGAGGTGAGGTTTGAGTTCAGATTGTTATTGTTATTGTGTAGCTCTGCATGATCACATGTGTGATTCGCTTAAGGAGGGTGGTCCCAACTGACCAGAACTCAATTCGACATGACTAAATAAGTCTTGACTTGATCACAGTTGTCTGTGAACTACAAATGGGTAACTAAGTTTTCTGATAAATGGTTAGTTCCCCATCAACCAACATTTGATGTTAGCAGCAAATCACATGATAGACACTGTACTCAACTTTAATGCACGGTGAACTCCCTCGAATAGTGCTGTTAGACTTTGAGACAAAATCACCAGAAAGTCATGATCTTCATTCCACCTAGTACTTACTCATCAGTAGCACATATTTCAATCATTCAGACAAGTCATCATAACTAGGAGATTCGACATCTCTATCAGTTAGTTTAGACTTCCAGTAAGCTGCATCACCAAACTACTCAGAACACAGTAAACACCATGTAGGCAACCATTATCTCAACATTTGGCTTAATGAGATCGATAAACTTCAATTGACAGTCAATATATCCGTCTAGTGATATTAGTCAGAAAGCTATTAACAAACCTGAGAGTACTGGATAACATTTTTCAGCCTACCTTAAGACTGTTCAACAGTATACACCAACAATACCATGAGGGATCAAACCGAGGACTGTGAGTCCTCATAACATGCACATTGCTATTACTCACCCACCATTCAAATAAAATATTCCCCTAGATGAACTATTTAGAAAATTATTATTAACTTGGTAATTAATTAATTACCAAGTATGTTTGAGTAGGTAATGAGTTTATTGATTAACAATGAAATTCATGCTATCCATATGTCTAATACGCATATATATATATATATATATATATATATATATATATAAAACTCGATTTAAACAAAAGAAGAATCTTGAAAATGTGATTTCTTACACACTGCATCAGGAAATATATTACTCAGAGTATAGAAGGCAAAATGTATTAGGTTAATTTGAAAAGTATGCTGACATGGTCTTTCTCTCTCGCGTTCACGCATGCGTCGTTGATCTCATTCTCACTACTTATATATGATTGGTGAATGAAATGATTGACCTTGAAACGTGCACAACATATTTTGTACTTCCTCCCTGTATATAAATAAATATTAAAAGTTGTGATAACTAGAAAATGGCTACAAATTTTTTTTCTTTTCTGATTATTTATTGATTCTCAATTATATCGGGCATATAAAATCATTTTGATCAATGAATGAATATTGGTAGGCAGATAGAAAAGAAAAAAAAAAAAAAGAATTATTGATAAAATTATTATATTATTATTATTAGTCCCTTGGGTTCCTAGTGGAACATAGGGCTTCAGCAGCACGCCTCCAGTGACCTCTGTTCTCTGAGATCTTTTGAACCTGGTTCCACGACAGCCCACAACCTCTCATTTCCTGCTCGCACGACCTCCTCCATGTCACCCTCGGACGTCCAACTCGTCGCTTCCCATGGGGATTCCACTCGAGGGCCTGACGCGTGATGTCCTCAGTCGGCCTTCTCAGTGCATGGCCAATCCATCTCCACTTCTTCCTGCATATTTGTTGCGTGATAGGTTCTTGGTTGGTTCGTTCCCAGAGTTCCTTGTTGCTTATTTTTTCTGGCCATCTGATCTTCAGCAGCGAGCGTAAGCAGTTGTTGATGAATGTCTGTAGTTTATTGGAAATACCTTTCGTGACGCGCCAAGTCTCTGAGCCATACAAGAGCACTGACTTTACGTTGGTGTTGAAAATCCGTATCTTGTTCCGCATGCTGAGTGCAGAAGATCTCCACACTGGTTTCAGGCTAATGAACGCCTGTCTTGCTTTTCCGATTCTGACTTTGACGTCCTCGTCCGTCCCGCCTGTAGTTGAAACAGTGCTTCCTAGATAAGTGAAGGAGGTTACTTCCTTCAAGTTTCTCCCGTTGACGGTGATTGGAGTTTGTTGTTGTTGTTGTTGATGGTGGTGGTGCGGTATCTTCATCACTTCTGTCTTCTCTATATTCACCTGAAGTCCCGTCTTAGCTGCCTCTTCTATCAACTTGTTAGTTTTTGCCTGCAGATCTTCAAGTTTATGTGACATTAGGCATAAGTCATCGGCGAAATCCAAGTCTTCTAGGTTCTTTTCCGTCGTCCAGTGTATCCCCCTCTTCTCACAGCTCCCCACTGTTTGCTGCATGATCCAGTCCACCACAATCAAGAATATCATGGGGATAGTAGGCAACCTTGCTTCACTCCTGTCTTCACTTCAAAGGCATCACTGAGCTTCCCATTGTGGATTACTTGGCATGTAGCATCTTCATATAGTTGTTGAATGAGGCGGATAAAGGTTTGCGGTACTCCGTAGTATTGAAGCAGTTTCCAAATTACTTCTCGGTCGACGCTGTCAAAGGCCTTCTCAAAGTCGATGAAGTTGAGGTGGAGAGGTGATTGCCATTCTATGCATTGATAAAATTGTATGATATCTCAATTGTTTAAGATATGTAGTTCATATCACTATCGATTAAGTAATTGGTCAATTCAACTTGATCAAAGTGATTCGAAAAACTTTAATCTAAGCAAACATATAGTATATTATTATGCAATGTGATTAGATATTGCTGATCAATACTCACTAGTGTCACATGTCAGGTTTGAAGCACTAGTTGAATTCTGTACATGAAAATTATTTTTGATTGAACTATATGATTAAACCACGATGAGAAAACCATTTTTTTTCATAGTTCTCTGTTATAGATCAATGTTTAATTAAATTGAACAATAATTTGTCTATTTAGCTGCTTTATTTTTAAGCATCTGAATTCCCTCAATTTACTTTGTATTAAATGAATGACTTTAAGTTGAAAAACTGGATTCAAGTAGAATACACTAACAACTGAAAAGTAGAGGATAGTGTAAAATTAAAAAAAACAGTGGGAAAATCAATAAATAAATAAAAACTCCAAATGCTTATTATACATAAATAATATAAGGGAATGTTGCATATTAGTTAGAAAGGGCGTGCCCAAATTCCTGTTTGGTATACACGCCAAGCTCCTATCTCCTTAAGTGAATTAGATAATGGACAATGAAAAATGATAATACACCGATATACAATAACAATATGAATTAGGACGTAATCTGATCCGAAAACTGTGGATATTTATATAACAACCTAACTGAAAAGTGTATTTACTGTCTAGCTGAAATGTAGGCTTTCTGTAGAATAAGACATTATATATATATATATATATATATATATATATATATATATATATATGCGTATTAGACATATGGATAGCATGAATTTCATTGTTAATCAATAAACTCATTACCTACTCAAACATACTTGGTAATTAATTAATTACCAAGTTAATAATAATTTTCTAAATAGTTCATCTAGGGGAATATTTTATTTGAATGGTGGGTGAGTAATAGCAATGTGCATGTTATGAGGACTCACAGTCCTCGGTTTGATCCCTCATGGTATTGTTGGTGTATACTGTTGAACAGTCTTAAGGTAGGCTGAAAAATGTTATCCAGTACTCTCAGGTTTGTTAATAGCTTTCTGACTAATATCACTAGACGGATATATTGACTGTCAATTGAAGTTTATCGATCTCATTAAGCCAAATGTTGAGATAATGGTTGCCTACATGGTGTTTACTGTGTTCTGAGTAGTTTGGTGATGCAGCTTACTGGAAGTCTAAACTAACTGATAGAGATGTCGAATCTCCTAGTTATGATGACTTGTCTGAATGATTGAAATATGTGCTACTGATGAGTAAGTACTAGGTGGAATGAAGATCATGACTTTCTGGTGATTTTGTCTCAAAGTCTAACAGCACTATTCGAGGGAGTTCACCGTGCATTAAAGTTGAGTACAGTGTCTATCATGTGATTTGCTGCTAACATCAAATGTTGGTTGATGGGGAACTAACCATTTATCAGAAAACTTAGTTACCCATTTGTAGTTCACAGACAACTGTGATCAAGTCAAGACTTATTTAGTCATGTCGAATTGAGTTCTGGTCAGTTGGGACCACCCTCCTTAAGCGAATCACACATGTGATCATGCAGAGCTACACAATAACAATAACAATCTGAACTCAAACCTCACCTCATCCGTAAACTGTGGATATTCATCTAACGATTTAACTGAACAGTGTAGAAAGTGTATTCACTGTCCCGCTGAACGGAATACTTTGTGTAGAATGTGACGATAAGACTGCTATCACTACTTCCTCTGCTACTACTACTACTACTACTGACGGTGATTAAAGTAGTATGAGTGTGTAGATGTCGTTACGATTTGATTTGTAAATGGGATAGTCTTCAACGTGTGAATGGTTGTTTGATTTTAGTAAATGTTTTGTAGTGGCATATTGACAACCATCTTCATCGAAATCGCTCTTCCTACTCTGTCATCGTCTTACGAATTGATGTATGGATGTAGTTGATGTGGGGCAGCTTCCATGTAGTGGATCATCTGTTTCACATCAACTCCAACTCCCAAAATTCGGGTAACCATATGAACTCATTATGTGTCACACCATCAATTGATATACATATTATCAAGAATATCATCTTAGCCTAGTCTTGGGTTTGAATCTTCGTGGGAACCAAATCACTGAGAGCAACGCACTGGTGATGAGCCTTGAATGAGATGAGACACACCTGATGGATCCGTCTGCTCGTCATATGGGTTTATTATCCGGGAAATGTGTTCTGTACACTTGTTGTCTTCCTGTAGTGAAGCATATTTTTGATATTTTGCACAGGTTGATTGTGTTAGAATTTCGTCTACATATCCGGAATGGGTGTAACACTGTTTTTGTGTTACATGTGTTGAATATCGGTTTGGTCATCTGCATGTGTATGAGTTAGTGTAAACTCATTTGATATCATGTGTTTATGTATATGTGGTTGCATGGTAACGGTTGAGTTTCTATTCCTAGTTTAGTCAACGCTTTCTGGGTGTGTCTTATAACCTCAGTAACCCCATTCAGTTGATTTGACCTATGCTCTCGCTACGTAGATTTTGAGTAAAAGATTTCATTAGGTGAAATGTTTTCAGCAGGTTTGAGATTTATTGAAATTGAAATAATCTAGATTAACGGTTGCACACTTGAAGAAGACAACCGGAGTCAATGAGAAGTTAGTTTAATTTTTCTGTTTTCATTATTTCTGTTTATGAACTGAGTTTGGCTTTAATAAATAAGTATTTGCGTCCTACGCTAGCCATCCACTTTTTCTGGACATTCCGTGAATCCTTATAAGCTCACAGATGAGTGTGTTTTTTTCCCAGCACATTTATGCTTTACTGCGAGGACAATGGTGAAGAAATACCTGTATGTTTGTGTGATTCTCACTAATGACTAACCAGTATACTTGGTTTTTCTAACCGCAGTTTGAAATTGTCACCGAGGTGACAAATTTCATGACTTTGTAAAAACGTTGTTTCAGTTTTCCATGTGCATCCAGACTGTCACCTATCAAGACTAATGTGACTTCTAAGACAGATTTGGTTATCACTTCGCTCATATGCGTTGAAATGAAAACCAGGCTTTGCATTCCGCTTTGAAACTAGTTGGATGCAGAGTAATAATTTAACCTTGAAATGGTTGAATAGGAAAAAATATCCTATAAAGTGGAGGAAATCGAAGCAGCCATTTCAAGACGATCTGGATCACCATAACAGCTGTTGATTGCAACGAACTGTAAACCAGCGCAAAAGGTTGGTTACATAGAACTCTGGTCGGTGTCTATAAATACCGACCTACCAGTGAATTCTAAAATGAAAAAAAACTATACCCGTTGCACGAAGAATGTTTACCGTGGCTGGGTGGTGTAGTGGATAGCGTCCTTGCGTTCGAATTTGTCGCTCCGGAGTCCAAATCCTAGTGAGAACCACACTCAGAGGTAAGCAGATACGTCCAGCTGTCCCAAAGAGGACGAAATGCCCGTCCTGGATTAGACAGCTAGCACCCATCACTAATGTAACCAAAACGCAGGCAATATCGAGGCTACCGCACAGGAGGACATATAGCAATAGAGACCGATCGAAATTCGTTCCAATCAACGACGGTATTATGGGAGAACGCTTGTGCGGGAACTATTTGTTGTTCCTATATGTTGGTACTTATTTTCTCAAGTAGTATGAATAATAATTATAAATTTTCAAGCGGCAGTCTTGTTTCTACAAGTCGATATCGTTCATGGAACGTGATAAATGTGTGAATTGTAGGTGGTCATTGACATTTCAGAAAGGTGCAGGTCTTTCGCCAGATTCAGACCAATAACATACGAGTAAGCTGCTTTATTTACAGTTAACATGTGTAAGAACGTTGTAATGCTTGAAATATCTGACCTTCGGTGAACTCTGAATATCACTTATGAGTTGATTGTTGAACTGGGAAATTCAGGCTTTAAGTATTGAGTTCTCATCAACCCGAAAGGTATTATCTACTTGTTTCAGTGATGAAAATAATAATTTGGCAAAGATGAATCACCATTTTAGTTTTCCTGGGCCTGGGTATGAGACCAATTTGGAGTGGGAACACATAACCATGAATGGAATTTCCGCCATCTTTTCCAAATTCTACATAAACAACGGAGTTTCATCACTAGAAGTGTTGATTTTTGTGGTCCTTAGTCGACTACCAAAGAACCTTTTAGTGACCAATCAGGATGCAGGAAACAAGCCTGCGTTCTCAAAAGACTACTGAGCACAGAAGTACAGTGTAAACCTATCATTTTATCTAGGAAGGTTCTGGTTGTTGAGTTGGTCACCATGCTAATATAACTAGACGCCATGCTAACAGACACTGTATAAGTCTTCTACATCGATATTTGAATACTAAGAGTTGGTGAAAAACCTTTTCTACAGACTGACTTCTTAATCTGAGACTTCGATGTTTTTTTCCTTTCTTCAGCACCAATTGGATTGGCACTCTTCATATTAGGTGCTGTTATCACAGGTGTTTCAGTATTTGGCTATTGTGGGGCTTGTTGCAATATGAAGATACTGCTCTACATTGTAAGTACACACAGGCCATCTTACAAATTATGTTTTGATCAACTGCTTTACCTACTTATAAGTAGTATAAAATTTTAACTTTTTTACAATCATGACAAATTTCAGGGACATTGTGGCTTAACTCATAACAGAATTGAACAATAAACTTAGCTGACCATAGTTATGCAAACTTGGCTTCCAGCATCTTTTTCATTTTACTAAGAACTACTGGAAATTAGGAAGTACTATAGGCCAACCGTTTCTTCCTAGACTTAAATGGCGTGGAAACGATGATCCCTAAATGCTAACTGAACTTGAGCGACTGAAGATGCACTGTCTTTAAACGAAGATCAGTTCTTAGTGAGGTATTTCGTTAACTAAGTTTGACTCCTAAGACCACAGGCTAGTAATTGCATAAGTTAGGATTGAAGTGTAGGTGAATTGTATCACTTTGAACTTCCACATGCCCACTTCCGAGATCTTAGGTAGGTTGGGTTGAACAAAGGTTCTCAGACTTTAGTAGATTCACGTGATATTGGATAGTAGATAGGCGCTTTGTAAACGATCACAGGCTGGGATGTTTAAAACCTTCTTGAAAAATGATACGGTCAGTAAACTAATACTTCCAGCCGTGGAATGATGCACAAGATACTGACAATGAAAACCAGTTCAATCCAATATTTTATTGATGAATCTAATCAGCCAGTCACTGACTACCGGTTAATTTAATTTCTCTATCATCTTCTAATATCCATACGATGCGTGAGGTTCAATAGCTATCATTCACCTTTCCCAACCTAGCCACACTCTAGATAAAGTAGAGTCTGGGGGATGGTTATCAGATTTGCGTTACACATGCGTCATCCTCGTAAGTTTACAGCAGCATGTTCCTCATATAGTGTTTCCACAAAATGCAGCCGGTACTATGAAGACAAGAGTAATCGAAAACTTAAGGCTCATTCATGTCTTTTGTCTTTCATGATCATGTTTCAGAGACACAAACTAGAACAGTTGAAAATCTCACAAATACCATAGGTGACATAAGTTGGTTGAAGTCAGTCAAGTCTTCTGTAACTAGGCCCATGTCTCATCGGCAACCGAAAACATAGGTCGATATATCCAACCACCTCATTACATACTGGCATACTGGCGAAGATACTTTAAGACAAATGGCGTATTACCGACGATACATAAGTGTGAACAGCTGAACAACCAAAACATTTGCCTTCAGTTATGCAAAAATGTCATCTGCATCAAATGGGCATTGTAATGAATCTGTTCATGAGTGGAAAATAGCAGTTTTACCATTAGGCTTTGATCCTAACACTTTAATCATTGCAGAGCACCTAAGACAGGAGACATATCAATCACACACACACACACAGGTAGCCGACACTTATGCAACACCCAGTCCCACAAGAAGTCAGTGGCAGACTGTTTACCTCAGTCGTAATGTATCTGGTTTCAGCACTAAATCAAACAACAGAGAGAACAACCGACCCAGTGGTAATATGATGCCCGCTGAACCTGAAGACCATGGGTTCGATCCCTGGTGGGGTCGTGGGTCCGCACTGGCGAGAAGTCCCATAGTAGGACAAAATAGCTGTCCGGTGCTCCCAGGCTTTCAATACTTCTCCACAAGATGTCAGTCCATGATGAATACCGACCTGAAATCAGTAAATCCTCAAAAACCGCAAAACTGAGATAACAACAGCATCTCGATGGTGCCAGTGACATTTCTTACTAATGCAGGCCAACAAGCCCAAAACTTGCTGACTGAATCTCAAACATATTCCTCATGTATATACATATGAGTTACATATGCTTCCTTATTTGATATCAAACGTCTGTAAACAGGTGGATGTAAAACACAATAGTATAAAAGTGTCACACAGGCAGCTATAAGCTACTAAAAAGGTGTTGTCAGTAGTATCGAGCTGTTTTAATTTCATAGTTCAACGTACCTTTCAGTAATTAACACTGTTTTTTTTTTCTTCACCTATTTTTAACTAAGTATGCACTTCTTGTTGGGATTCTGGCTGGCGCTGTAATGGTCACCTTCAGTGTGTACTTCGCTAGAAAAGAACAGGTAAGAGGTTCATTATTTCTTTTTTAAACTATTAAATAAAATCTAGAACAAAATAGGCAATTCTGATTGGTTTTTTGAATTGAATGACAGTGGACCTGCAAAACTAATCCATTAAATGATGAATATCTAAGGATGGATGGTTAAAGATAACACTGAATGATGAGCGTGCTGTATCGCCGATCGACAGAATTAGGAAAACATGAACAAGTAGTTTCAAACCCAGGTGGTAACTGGTGACGCACATGCCACGAAACCTGGTGGCCTTGGGCTTGACCTCTCACAAGGCGGGAATTATCGCTAGTTACTTCTGAAAAGTTTCAAACAAAGACGAAACAGCTACTTAGTGCTTCCACGTCTTCAATAATTTTGCAATTGATACTAGTGCGTGATGACAAGTGCTCCAAAACCAACTACTGGAATCCATATGGAACGTTTTGTCCCACTCAGAACTCATCAGTTGGGTGACGTAGTGGATATTGCTACGGGATTGAGAGTAATCAACTATGGGTTTGTGTCTTGAAGGCTATCGCGAATGAGTAGCCCAGAGGACAACCTTCTAGTGTTTGAAGTAATGGGCTCAGGGTTAGAATCGCAGTGAGGATGTACATGCATCCAGCCTGCGAGTCACAACTACGACAAAAAGCCTTTCCTGGATGCTACTCCTAGCCACCATTCATCACTAACACCAAACTAAAATTCCTGGCAGTGTGTAAACCTTCACATAAGAGCCCATATGCTAATAGTTCCCGATCAATCTGATCAAGTCAACGACGGGGAATTACATCTCAACAAATACAGTTCGCTGATCAATCTGCTTTTACGTAGCAAAACGGAATTCTAGTTGATTGTATGCCTATCTGGCATTTTCTTCATTGACTGAAAGATAGATTTCACATCGACATATCTGTTGACTCTTTCGATAAACTACACAATCAGTTAGAGATTTATTGGACCTGAACGCTAGTTACTTAGATCATCAAATTCTTTCCACTGCAATAAGTTATTATTATTACTGAGGATAAGTGGTGGACAAGTTCATATGTCCTTGAAAAGTAATGTGAAAAGCAGTGACTTAGTTGAATGTTTCAATTATTAGTTTTGTTTATCCTCCCTTCACACATACATTTCCCATTCATTTATAGTATCAACATAAATATCTGTACGCCTTTCGTTTGACAAGATGTCTTATACTCAGCTCATTTTGTGATTCACAGCCAACTCAAAATAATGTTGAGTTCAAAAGTTTCTCAATGTCTTATACTGATGTCCGATTGTGAGAGTTCTCTCTTGAAATAACATTGAGAAGTGCGTCATCATTCGTCTACACAGTAACCTGGTGATCAGAATTAGTGAAACCAGGGTGAAAGTGGAGTTAAACAAGATTAGGTACTCTGAATTCATATCAAAATATGTACATTTTTGCCTCAACGAATTTCCACGAATAGCATGTCAAAACAGTCACACTAATTAATCGTTAATCCTTCGACTACTAACATTTAGTGAGTACTCAAATTATTTACAAAAAACTTTCTCCGATGGGTAACTCGATGCCTTACGAAATTATCCTTTATAGCTCGGACAACAAGTGATTGAACTGTTCAAACAGAGTGTCCAAAATTACCATTCAATGCAAGCAAATACAATCGACAGCCTGGTAGTCGGTTTGATCTCACCTCAGGTAAGTTATTCTTTTTTCTCGAGTGGTTTTACAGCTTTCGAATGAAACGTATAAGCACCTGGATTAGAATATTTTATCGACTGGGAAACACTTTGAAAACAGTATTACGTTATCCACTTGAATGATCTGTGAAACTATAGCTCGGTATTCATTAGTGATGATATTAAGCACCGAGTTGATCAGTTCCGGATGTGACTGACAGATTGACAAAATCAACTAGGAACTTCAAACAAAACTGCATCAGCTCAGGCTACCGGAATTCACAGTAGTGGACAAAAAGGAAGTGATACCAAAGTAAATAAAGAACTGTCAGAAAATAACAAAATGAGCATAAAGTTTCCGTCAATATTCAAGCTTTATAAGATGTCAGGAACTGAAAACTCCCGAGTAAAACAAGAATATATGCTTGATCATCACAGAGAAAAATTGCTTTTAAACATATTCTCCACCGGTGTGCAAGTCAGTATGAGCAGTCTGAGATGCAATACACACAGATGGATAATTGTTCAGGTATTCACAGCCGATCCACACATCAGTGTTCAAACACTCTCCATCAGTTATTATTTTCTTATACATAGTCCCATGGGTTCCTAGTGGAATATAGGGATTCAGTAGCACCCCAATGTTTCACTCTCTCCTCTCCAGTCTTTCCAACCTGGCTCCACAACTGCCCAAAAGCTTTCATTTTCTCCTCATACCATCCCCATGTCACCCTCGGAAGCCTAACTGGCCGTTTAACCTTCGGGTTCCACTCGAGGGCCTGGCATGGCACGTGATGTCTCCGAATGTTCTTATCAGTGTATGCCCAATCCAATCCATCTCCACTTTCTTCTCCTGCATATTTGTTGGGCGATAGGTTCTCGCTTCGTTGGTTGGTTCATTGACAGGTCAGAGTTTCTCCTTGTTTATTCTTTCTGCCCTTCTCATCTGATTGATCTTCAGTATCGAGTGGGTGAACGTAGGCGGCAGCTGTTAATAAATGTCCGTAGTTTGTTGGAAATGCTATCCGTAATGCACCAAGTCTCTCAACCATCACATAGAATCACTGACTCACTTGACTGACATTAGTGCTGCAAATCCGAATCTTGTTCCACACGCTGAGTACAGTACAGTACAGTAGATCTCCATAGATTAATGGAAACCTGTTCTGTTGTCTTTCCGATGCTGGCTTTCACATCCTCGTCTGTGCCGCCGCCGCCGCCTGTAGTTGAAACGATGCTGCCTACTAGGCAGGTGGGTAGATGAAAGAGACTACTTCCTTTAGCTTTCTCCCGTTCATGGTGATTGGTGTTTGTGATTGTTGTCGTTGTTGGTTGGGTATCTTCATCACCTCTGTCTTCTCCACGTTCACTCGAAGTCCCGTCTTCGCTGCCTCACCTAGCCTCTTCTGTCAACTTGTTAGTTTTTGCCTGTAGATCTTCGAGTTTGTCCGGTATTAGATATAAATCATCATTGGCGAAATATGTTTGTATGTGTTATATAATCCTACGTCTAATGTTTATCCCCTAAATTCCACTTTTACAGCTCAAGTGTTGTGGTGTAGAAAATGGAGAAGATTTTGTAAATTCAAGCAATTTCTGGAAAAATGATACTTATGGTGGTCAAACGTATAACAGTAAGTTTTTCTCATCCACTTTTTCCATAATATCATGCATAGCTTTGAAAGTTTATAAGGATTTATTTATTGATTTCAACGAAGTATTCTTCATGAACTGGCATTGAAATGCTGATTCCACCCCACTATGGAAGTCGTCAGCAGTGTGCACCCATAACCCCTTTCAGGATGTTACCAATAAATCACTGGGTTAGTGGAATTCAATTATATAGATTTCTTACTTCCGTCACCCCATGATATAGCGCAACTTCCATTCAATGTTATCGCTGAGTAACTGTCCTCATGTTAGACTTGATTGGGCTGACTGCTCATGACTTACCATCAGAACTTTGGGGGATCGTCTTTCAAGAGAATAATTCAATTTAGAGATTTCTGTGTGGAATTACTCATTGACTTTAGGTCAACATTCATCCCACATGTGAAGACATTGGATAAAGATCGCACCACACTGTGAACTGACAAAAGTGAGAAATATGGACGACTGGGTTTCGACCCAGTGGCTCACTGAATAACATGGCAGCTACAGGACGTGGACCCCACGGGTTCGACCCCTGGGGGCATCATAGGTGCCTACTGTTGGGAGTCCGATACACAGACTACCAGGTATCCAATCGTTCTCCAACTGATGTCAGTCGATGATGAATACCAGCTTGATATTCTCCATCGGTTTTTGAGGCGTAGGTCATCAGATTTACCTAAGAAAATTTTTCAACGAACATGTCACAAGTTGAAACCCGCTCCACACAATCAACATGTGAAATATTGATGAGTCACTCACTGAATAAAACCTGTTGTCTAACGATTTTGACGAATCACCACTGAATACCACCCCAGCAACAATTGAACTAATCAATAAATAAAGAACCGTAATTGCCTATCTGAGCAGAATCACTCCACTGTGTTTGCGTATGTGTGTCAGTGTCAGCAATATCTATAACTGTGGTCTTAAACCAATCTCTAGAAAAGTATGAATGAATCGATCTAATTTCACAAAGATGTACGCACTTGTCTAATTCATTACTAAACTTCATTTATGTTTATTATAATTGGAACACTAATCACTAGTTAGGTCATTAGTGTCAGTCGTAAGACTTTCTTATTCTGAGTTTAGTTGATTTCCTCCCTCTGTCTATGTCACTTTCTCCATTTACAAGTACAATTCAGTGCTGTAACACTTCAACGTCACTTTATTCATCAGTTTTAAGTGATTGGAAGTAAATGATCAATAACCCATAACCCTAATTAACATATTCTTCAGCAACTGATAAACCTGGGCTTCAGTACTGCACTAATAACTTATGATGACCAGCTGTTGCTACGTTTTTCGTCTAGCCTGTTGTGATGAAGCAAAGGAGTGTCAGAAAGGATATTCACCTAGTGGTTACCACCTTTTGTTTTTCTGCTAATTTTGATAGTGAGCTTGCAAAGCGATATGATAGTAAGATTTCAGAAATGCACTAGAGTATATAGCACAATTCGAAGGCATATTTGAATGGCTAAGACAATGTGAAAATGAAGTCGTTTAATTCAGTATAATCAGTGGAAACAGATGCAGAGACATTAGTGGACATGTTCACATCATTCTTGCAGAAAGTTTGGAATAAAGGAAAGGTACCTGCCGATTGGAAGAAGGGTAACCAAAGTCTTTGCAATAACTGGCGCGGAATCATACTGCTCTCTACTCCAAGCAAAATATTAGGCCATTTCACGCTAGAGAGAATAAAAATTGTGTTGGGTTCAAAATCCCGACCGTAGCAGGCTGACCGACATCACAAAGAACAAATCATGTGCAGATCGAATTGCAACGCTACTCTACGCATCATTATAGAACAAAGAATAGAATGGCAGTCCACTGTGTCTCAAATTCATCGACTTTGAGAAGGCCTTCGACAGCGTCAACCGAGAAGTAATTTGGCAGGCAGTTGCTTCAATACAACCATTTGAGTGCCATAAACCTTTATCAACCTCATTCAGTTGCGGATATATGATGATGCCACCTCCTGAGTGATTCACAATGGAAAGCTCATTGACGACTTTGAAGTGAAATGAAGACAAGAGTAAGACAAGACAAGGTTGCTGACTACTATCACCAATGATCTTCCTGATTGTAGTCGACTCGACTGGATTGGATCATGCACCAAACTGTGAGGAGCGAGAAGATGGGCATATGCTGAATGCACCGATGAAAAGACCCTAGACGATGTGGATTTCGCCAATGATGATTTATATCTAATACCGGACAAACTCGAAGATCTACAGGCAAAAACTAACAAGTTGACAGAAGAGGCTAGGTGAGGCAGCGAAGACGGGACTTCGAGTGAACGTGGAGAAGACAGAGGTGATGAAGATACCCAACCAACAACGACAACAATCACAAACACCAATCACCATGAACGGGAGAAAGCTAAAGGAAGTAGTCTCTTTCATCTACCCACCTGCCTAGTAGGCAGCATCGTTTCAACTACAGGCGGCGGCGGCGGCACAGACGAGGATGTGAAAGCCAGCATCGGAAAGACAACAGAACAGGTTTCCATTAATCTATGGAGATCTACTGTACTGTACTGTACTCAGCGTGTGGAACAAGATTCGGATTTGCAACACTAATGTCAGTCAAGTGAGTCAGTGATTCTATGTGATGGTTGAGAGACTTGGTGCATTACGGATAGCATTTCCAACAAACTACGGACATTTATTAACAGCTGCCGCCTACGTTCACCCACTCGATACTGAAGATCAATCAGATGAGAAGGGCGGAAAGAATAAACAAGGAGAAACTCTGACCTGTCAATGAACCAACCAACGAAGCGAGAACCTATCGCCCAACAAATATGCAGGAGAAGAAAGTGGAGATGGATTGGATTGGGCATACACTGATAAGAACATTCGGAGACATCACGTGCCATGCCAGGCCCTCGAGTGGAACCCGAAGGTTAAACGGCCAGTTAGGCTTCCGAGGGTGACATGGGGATGGTATGAGGAGAAAATGAAAGCTTTTGGGCAGTTGTGGAGCCAGGTTGGAAAGACTGGAGAGGAGAGAGTGAAACATTGGGGTGCTACTGAATCCCTATATTCCACTAGGAACCCATGGGACAGGTAATAATAATAATAATAACAATAATAATATTTACCGAAATACTGGTGAGAATTTCAGTTGAATAGGTATACACGTATCTGTCTCATTCATGCAATTGGACATGTAGTCGAAATATACATTCATGAAATAGTAATCCGTGAGTTAAACCGAATGTCTGGTGCCTAATAATACTATTACTTGACTGTTCAAACCTCGATTTGAAAACATGCTTCATCGATTGAAAATCAACTCCTTCAAGCAATGAGATTCATAGTTTTATAATGAAAAACTTGTATCACACAGTAAGACTAATCAAGTCAACATACATTACATGTGTTATTGACTTCTTAAGAATTTCATCAGTTGATGAAAAAAGAAGTGGTTAATAATTGTGTATTCTCATTCTTATTAAAACTTACAGATATTCGATACCCAGTACCATGTTGTAAAATGTCAGACAAGTATGTGATTAGTGATTCTACATGCCCGAACACATTTACTGAAACAAACAGTAACTTCAAAGTTGGATGTAAGGAACCCCTGGAAAAGCTATTTCTACAATATATGGATTATGTTGCCTATGGATTGGTTGGTGCATTTGTGATATTGGTAAGTTTCTAACAAAAGAAAAAACAAAAAAAGAAGAAGGGAAGAGGTGATTTCAATGCAAAAATTTAATATGATATTATAATCTACGTCTTTTCTTGTTATTAGTGATAAATAAGTTTTAAAAAAGCTTTGATAGAATGCAAGTTAGAAGTCATCACATGAATCTGTATGAGTTGGAGTACAACTGAAAATCTGGAATCACTGAACAGCTGTTGCATTCCAGTATGAGACTCTTCAATGGTGTATATCCACGACTTCACAAGGGATTGTCATTCCGCAGTAACCCAACAATCTATATTTTTCTACATCTGTCAACCGATGATACATAACTTGACAATCATTCAACGCCAGTGGAAAGTTGAAAGAATTGTCGGTATTCTTCAACGTCATCGAATGTTCCATCTGTAGATGATTCACCGGTTCTCCATGGAATTAAAGTGATCTATTGAATTGCTTTTATAGTTTAGGTGACAATGTTGAGGAGTTGGTAAATCATAAATCAGTGGTCTACACCCAGTTCATGTGCCTACTATCATTTATACATTATCTGAGGTTGAGTAATATGGAAGACTAATTCTTTTCCAATCGAGAAATTCATAAGTACTGTACTCGCATTAAGGGTGCACTCCATTCTACATAAAAGATAAGTATTAATTCATCCATAAACTGCTGTAATTATCAATTTCTTTCGGCTTTCGTTCCTCTACGACACGAAGATACTTACTGTTCACGACTTCAGGAATACATTAATCTCATTGGTTCTGAATCTTAAGTGCACTAAGTTATATTGATCTCCGAATCAAACAATCCTCAAACTTACTATCAGTTTCCTGCCGAACGTTTAAAGTGTCAGAAGTTGTACTGACAGACTGCCTTTTGAAGATCACATGAACCTCAAGTAGAGTATGAGTTATTTTAAAGATACATAAGAGGAAAGTAGGCGGTGGATGGACATGCGCAGTACGTGTCCAAACCATCTTAGTTGACCAAGGTTCACAACCTCATCAATCGACTTGCCTAGTACCCTTCGCTTCACTTCAATGTTCCTCACATAGTGATACCTCGCCAGTCGGCCCCACAGGTGATATAAGTTGGTAACTATCAAACGAGCCTTCAGTATCCCAGGTAGGATTTCGTTAACGACCAGCTCGTTCAAGCTGAGGTCAAGGTATCGAACCACTTCACTCCCTGTCGCTAAACTACGAGTAGTCTGGGTACACCTTTTATGAGCTGGATCGACAACAAACGAGCGAAACGGCAGCTACCTGGCAAAACCTACAGACTAGCCTGGTTGGTTTGTAACCATAAACTACTACACAAATGTCTCTGCGAAAATAAGAAGAAAGATTAGATTTTTCTATGTTTTACTTTCGTTCCAAAATAAATGTTGATATTTCAAGAATACCAATAAAGGTAATTGTTATCAAACATAATGTGTTGTTTATTTTTTTCATCTATTCTAGTTACTGGTCGTTGTGTTCGCTCTGATGACTGTTTGTATTGACTTTGTATGAGAGAAAGGAAAGCAAGCCAACACATAAAGTAGACGATATTCAGAGAAAACCAATCATATACATCCTCGTACCTTCCTCAACACACACACACATATATATATATATATATATATATATATATATATATATATATATATATATATATATATATGTTGACCTAAGCACTATCCGTCTCAATATACACATATATTTCCTGATAGCGCTGAGATAAAAAATTAAACAAAATTAATCAAATATTTACTTGTATGTACTCTTTTCGGATTAAATAGAAACTCAAATGAAAATGTTATTCACCAGGTGATGCAGTTTAAAGATGTAAACAAATATTGTTTTATGTTTTTTCTCAACTGTTGTTGCTATTTTATTTGTTTCTCTGAGAGTGGAGGCAGCGTGAATTTCAAAAGTTCCCTGTGTCACTTTTCTGATACTGATATTTCTGTAATCCAATTGAAGACGATAGGATATCGTCCAAATAGATGTTGTCATCACACCAATGGTGTATAATTGTCATTCCTTCTTATTAGTGTGATTAGTATGAAGTTATAGCGTTTTGCCTTTGTGTTCATTGATTCATCGTGTGTGTGTGTGTGTGTGTGTGAGTTCTCTCTCGCCTCTTCCATTTGATTCTGTAATTTCACATCCAATTTGGACATGAATTGATTTGATTTCTTCTGTTATATGTGTGTATGTAATATTCAGTTTTGTTTTTTTAATTGTTTATTACTATGTGTGTGAGTGTGTGTGTGTGTGTGTGTGAAACTTATACATTCAGGGATTTGAATACAATTGAATGTGATAATATGTCAATCACTATCAGCTGTTCAAAAATATACTGGATCATGAATAAAGATGAAATGGAAACCTAAGTTGCAGTAGGACTGGAACCTTCAGCACCTCCAAGTTAGGCATGCGATACTCTACCAGCTTCCAGACAGATCTTATACTTTCGGTCATCATAACCAAACTGGTTGTCTAGTTAAATCTTTTGAAGTCGATTAAAATTCGAGTCAAATTAAAGAGAGGAAGCGTGGAACTGATTCTCAATGAAAATATGTAAGATAGACACGGATTGAAAGACTTGTATTGAATATGGGATGAAAAGGCGCGACGTAGTAGCATTCAAATAGGTTAAGTGACTTCCAGGTTACTGACTGACTAGATCTTAACTTCCTTTCTCTTAATCAACAACATGTAAATGTATAACAGCTCTCAATGAACAGATAAGATATAGTGAAGAAGAAACGTGTCCCTTAGGAGACACAATTACTTCAAATTAACTTTCATCGCAGAATAACATGCACCAGGAAGCACTACGTAACCATTTCATTCTAGTTTGAAACTCTCCAGCAGCAGGCAGCCACGACTTAATAAGGGATCAAGTTTCGAACTGTAGACTTTTTCAGCTAGTGACTTGTTTATCCCACCGGTGGGTTGGAATCCATTGGGATAGGTAGATATCTCTACAGCCACCTTGATTCACACGACTACGTGAACACATCTGTAGACGGGATACTTTACTACATGTAGGCATCTACTATTTTGTCAATAACAAAAAATGAAAATTAGCACATCAAAAACCGAATAATATACGTTAGTATGATGACTGCAGCAGGCTGTCAAAGTTATCCTCTACTTTAAAAATACCAAGCTTCCGTCTTGCGCTCTTTATAAAGTCAAATTTTCGAATATTATACGATGAAGCACTCTTTCGGTGTACTACATCGTGTTTTCATAATTGAGAAACTCTTACAGTGCAAGATGTAGCGAAAGATAACAGGAAACTCTTCAGAGTACAGAAGAGTTAGTGAGTTCAGTCGGAGAAACACCTTAGAAATAAATAGACTCATCTAAAGGTGAACAGCAGTGGAAATAAACGCATACTGGTATGAAGAACGCATAGAGGCAAACAGGACATATCATATGTGCGCACGTTTACAACAGAAAGTTGTGATTATCCTCAGCAGGTGATTCGCTCATCCTATTCAGCCTTGAACGTGACTTGTTCGCATGTATATGTCTAATCTCATATGTTCAATCCACCCACGCAATTCTGCTCTCCTAACGACGTACAACACAAAACAAAGTTTGTTGATTATTGTCTGCATAGATTTCAGAGGATCTGATTCATTTATGTATATAATCAAATTTCCTGACCACGACGCACCATAATTTATAAAAATGAAACAACCAATTAAATCCATGCTCCAGGAATGAGATACTGCCCAACAATGGATTTCACCCAACATACAATGGTTACTTTCGAACTGTAAGTCATACAAAAGTAGATGAAAGGTCAATCAAAAACTCTTGAACCGACTGAGTTATACAATAATGTTACCAATTATGTCATGAGTAAAATAACTTTCAAAACAAATAAAGTAATACGACCGATGTTGCGTACATGGGATTCACATTTTCCACTTTTCGTCTGATATAACAACCGTGGTTCAATCTTATTTTCTTGTTTACTACTAACAATGTTACATGTAAGTTGAAGTATTAAGTAGTCACTGGTTTTCTCTTGTAGCTGGAGTATGTGTCGGGCATAACGACTTGTCCATGAAGACTTGATGCTACCTTGAAGGGTTATGTAATCATATCCTAAATACACTGGCTAAGCATTCTTGATCAATAAAGATGCCTATAAAGTAAATAGTTTTCTGAACGACATTTAAAGTAATGTGAGCCGGCTTTGGATGTCTTTCTTACTTAGTAAGCATAAAATTTTGCTTTAGGGTTGGAACGCGTCGATTCCCGTCAATGAAGTGGTTGGATGTGTTAAGCATTTGATTAAGAGTAGCATGAAAGGGGTCTGACATTCAACCTCAGAAACATAACACCACCATAACGTACACAATATCTCGGTGATACTATGAAACAGTACATTTTTTTACCAGTTCGTAAACCAAGGTGTACTCTTTCTAATTCAAAAGCGAATTGGATTGCATCGACCATCGAGTTAATATATGCGAAAAATCTCTGTTCTGGTTAACCCGGGTAGGAAAACTTTGAAAATCATAGAAGACTAAAGTTCACCCTAGCAGCAATAGAGAAAACCAATTAGGTTGGTCATTTCAGCCGCCGCTTAAAGCGGCCTATAAAGTGACTCGAAAACCATTGTTCTTTTTAAAATCATTTACTTTCACCTGCGTAAATTAGTAAAAAATGTATTTAGACAAAATGACTTTAAAGGGCACTATAGCAACTACCGAATGAACCAATCAAGCTTCAATGTTTCGGTGAGAAAGATCGCTTTTAGTATAGCCTTGAAGTTTTCAAATTTGTTGCTAAAACATTAAATAACTTAACCAATGAGTCACATTTCAATATAGCCTACAGTATATACCACGATGATATCGAATCTCTGACCATTTCATCAAATGTACACACATACTTAATCAGTAAACAAACAAGTACATTAAATCGTATTACTAAACATTTTCTAATGAATAATTAAAATCAGGATTTCAAATAAAATGAAAACGAATTCTGAGGGAGTTGTGGAAATTTGGAAATATTTCAAGTTGTTATTCATCGTAGAGTGACATCAGTTAGAGGAACAAAAGACACCTGGGAGCACTGGACAGCTGCTTCGTCCTAGTATGGGGCTCCTCAGCAGTGTGCACTCACGACCTGTATATCATGAGCTAACAGTAGTTGGAAATATGGACCATTGGATTCTGACCCAGTGGCCCAATGGTAACGTGCTGGTCACGGAACCTGGAAGTCTCGGGTTCGATCCCTGGCAGGGTCATGGGTGCACACTGGTGAGGAGTCCCACGCTAGGACGAAACAGCTGTCCAGTGCTGCCAGGTTTCCTTTGTTCCTCCAACTGATATCAGCCTACGATGAATAAAAACTTGAGGATGACTTATATTTTTAAGTTTGATTACTGTCGTATGTAGTTCATTTCTTGACTGAAGAAAACGATTACTCCGCGTAAGTCCCAACTAGAAATTATCCTTCATGTGGTGCGTTCAGCTAAGAGACAGGATATGCTATAAAGGTCAGAAAATTGTCTTCAAAAACTAACTCCCTATTTCATGCTTTTTAGCATACTCTGGTCAATAATTTATCTCCACCCCAAAAGTTTACAAGATGTTTCAATAATGCAAAATCCACCACAAAAACTTCTATATTCTTCCTTACTGTCTATCATATACGTTCTTTAGAGAATTGAATTGATTCATGACTACAAAAAAAACTTTAGCTTATACAGTGGATCGTATACACAGTTCATCTGAACATAAAAGGAGAAATATTCACCGACAGTATTTCATTACTACTGTTTTATGTTGACAAGTGACTAAAATTAATGAATAATTAAGTTTATTTCTATTAAGCGAATGATAATACCTTAATCGGAAATGGCCTAAATAAAAACCAGTCACCTAAGTAGTTTTGAATTTCCAGCTTAATTTTATGTTACTTCGTGGTCAAGAAAAACCTTATTGAACTATTCTGCCCTACAACTGGCCAATCAAAATCAGCACTCAACTTCTGACCTGGTGGTTATATTTTTTGAGAAAAACTGTGCATGTGTTCTTTGTCAAATAAAGTTAACTTTCTTACAGTCACAGGGAGGTCTTTGTCTTACGGTTTTCACGGCTCAGTGAAGTACCAGGTGTGAGGTAGAACAGTCCCTATTCGTATCTAGCCCAAGTGTCGCATTGCGTTAGTAGCCTTCTCGTATTATGCAGTCATTTACTTCCATCCGATCACTTTACATCCTCACCTAGAGACTTGACGATGCTCATTTCTTTCCTATATGTGGTTGTCAGTGTGTTACATAACTCTTGACGTCTGGTTCCTCTGGAAACTTCCTTTAAAGTTCTCTACGAAGTTTAACCAAACCGATCAAAAAGAGTTTAGATGAAACACTTATGTACAGCAGAAGCTTTAAGAATTCACCGCTTCAAACCTCAAATGTGTATTCAAAAGAAACATGTACAAACACTATCTGCTGCGGCTTTATTCAAAGACTCTTCATCTCTGTTTATGTTTTATTTCATTTCTTCCTATGTTAAACTAATTAATTATTTCCACTGGATACCGACTCCTACTGTTTAATATATCTTATGGAAACCATTCAGATCATATCTTGAGTTACGTAATACCCCCTCATTCCCTTATTACCTCAATCGATTAAGTTTAACCTCTGACCGGAGACCATTTTCGGACATTCTATCGTTTTACTGATATATTTACATTTCAACAGCTACGACAATAACTCGTAGAAAAGATTATTAACTTCGCTTATAAGCCCTTGGCGGCATCAAATCGGTTCATTATAATAACAGGAAATTAGAAATATCAATACATAATAATAACTGATATCTGTTGGACGACGGTTGGCTGACAAGCTTCAGTGGTTTAGTGGATAACACTCTGGCGTTCAAAGTGATAAGCCTTGGGTTAGAGTTACACTGGTAGTACGTCCGTGCTGACAAATCAACACTACAGCACGAAATGCACGTCCTGAATTCCTCTGTTAACCACCAACACTAAAAAAATTATAATATAATTCCTAAAGTATTTGGAGTAGTAACTCTGATCATGAACTGATGTCATCTGAAAAACCATTCACAAACTGGCGGTACTCAATAGTACAGACAAACGACCCAACGAGAAAACTAGTCCACGTTTTATGACCAGCAACGTCACTATTCAGCCAATTTGCAACATATCGGAACCATTATCCAATAATTCTCACCAGACAATCTACCCATCCTCACTACTGATTTGATTGACACCGAAGGTCAAATCAACCAATCAATCCCCATTAAAACATCGAAATAAATTACAACTCCTTACTCACTCCATCTTGCTTCATGATGGATTTTCGGGGG